CCGTGTCTGACCAGAGGCAGATCCAGGAATTTGGGAGGATGGGTGCACCATTATGAAGCGGTGGATCCAGAATATAAATTTTAGTGATTCAATCTTTAGATCTACTACTGCATTCATTATACTTTTAGAATTATAAGTTCAGATTTAATATTTATATTGTAATTTTCTTACATCTATATCTATATTCTATACTCTATCGAAAATGTTGGGATCAGTTGAATCCATTGACTATAAGCTACATCATTCACTGGTACTAGTTTTAATATGCACATTTCATATTATCATATAAAATTTTATGGTAACAAAAGAATAATAGGAATTTCAATGCGTGAAATTTTAAAAGAATAAATCAAACAAAGAAAGAAAGAAAAAAAAAGAAAAGGTACTTAATTAATACGCAAAAAGAGACACCTGACATGTTCATCTACTATGGGCGCCTAGTTCTAAAAAAAGTAAAATAAGATTGACATGAGATTTGAACTTACAACTCACTCAAAGAGATGCATCTAATAATCATCGCATCATATGATACTTTGAGTTTGGGTGCACACATATATTTAAGTATTTTTGAAAAAATATAGCATTACTATGGAGGGGAACATGGGTTCACGTGTCCCATGGAACCCTCCCTAGATACGCCCCTGCTTGTCTCTATGCAAGCCGAAGAAATTTACTTTGTTAGAAAAGTGAGTATTCAAGGGCAAATGACTGAATTTTAATTAACTAGGATGGGTTCAGCAGTTTGGAAAATCTAAGTGCTTTGAGACATTTAAAGTAGTTGAATGATATTGGTTTAATAAGCAAAATTCTTCACCTTCCTCTAGCATTCTTCAGTAATCTACGCAATCTGAAAAAATTAACTTTATCAAAAACAAGATTTGTTTGGAGTGAGGCAAATAAACTGGGGTTTTAACCAGCTTAAAGTGTTATCGAATGAAAAGGAAAGATATACGGTTGTAAAACTTCAATTTCAAAAACTTAAGTACCTTGTTCTTAAATCATGCGATGAACTTGTGGTTGTAGTAATTAAGTTGGCTAATGTAGCTAGCCTTCAAGATACGACGTCGGAGAACGCAAACAAGGTGATCAAATTTACTATCCCACAGAGGAAACAAAAGATGCATTGCAAAAAGCAACTCTAGAACAAAAGTCCAAGACAAAAAGGGGGGGGGTCAAGCTGTAAAGAGTTCAACTTCATTCTCACAATATTACGCCCCTCCCCGAAACAAATGATTGCAACATCACGCAGTGTATTTGAAAAAGGTCAATCGATGTTCTAAATCTTCAATATCACAAACTATATGTCTAGATATTCATGCTCAGCAGTAGGGCTGTGCATTTGGATCGGATATCCGAAATCCGAACCGATCTGCTCAATTTCAGATTTCGGATATTTGGATCGGATTCGGATTTGGTTTATTAAAATTTCGAATTTTCGGATTTGTATAGTTTGAACCCGATCCGATCCAAAACCCGAATTTATTAGGGGAAGTATAAATACTAATTTTAGTTTTAGGGTTAGGTATAATCTTATTTCATTTTCTCGTTCTCCTCTTCTTCTTCATCACTTTCCCCTTTGTTGTCTTCGTTCAGATCAATGAATGAGACCAATTTGCTGTGGGAGGAAGAATCTAAAGACATTTTTTCCATAATGTATTCCATGGTATTTTTCATCATCTCTTCATTGGCTTGTTTCCCTGAATTCTCAGTCATGGCTAGTTGGCTACCTCTAGCTTTCTGAACAAGTTAGCCTAAGAGGTCTTCAATGAAAGAAACAAGCCTGGATTGAGTATCAAAGAACTCCTTTACAGTGTGCTTCATCATAAAGCCTTCATGTCTTACCATAATTTGGATTGGAATGACTTAGTAAGTTGCCTAACCACCAAATTTGTTTGCCTAACCAGGAATGGAAAACGCAAAAAAGAATAAAAGAAAAAGTCCTTAATAATAAGTACAATCCGATCCGAAATTAACCGATCCGAACTTTAAAATCCAATCCAATCCGATATAATTCGGATCGGATTCGGATAGCATTTTGTGGAATCCGAAATCCGAAATTTCAATCCGAAATGTGCTAAATCCGATCCATGCACAGCCCTACTCAGCAGACAATTTATCCATTATCCGTAAAGATTAGAAAGTATCGCCGCCAAAGGGGTGCTAACACTTGAACTCGAGGGTCGGGGTAGAGGGGTCGTTGTGACACTTGCCTTGGGATATTCCCACATCAGAATCAGTGGAAGGGTTAATAGCCATAAATAACAGCCAAGGTCTCCACTTGGTAGGCGACTTTTGGGTTAAAGGCGCAATAGTACAAAAATCATGACACTCAAAGCCTGGAGATAGCTCAAAGGATCGTATCAAAGCAAAAATAGTTGTCATATTGGACTTGGGCTATGACAAATGCCAAAAGCCTTGAGATGACCTAAAGGGATCCAGCCGAAGGGACAAAATTTGAAGCCCAAAAGCCTTAAGATGGCACAGAGGAGTCGGGCCAATAAGGACAATACCCGCCACATTGGACTTAGACCATGACAATGACTAACAAGGACCCATTATATATCACAGTAATGAAGCCTATACAATATGCTCTCGGTTTCATATCATAGTAGACTAAGAATACCGCTCAATTATATTGAGCAAAGTACGCTTGATCACAAGTTTAAGAGGAAAAAATTGCTAATCGATAATGAAATTTCATGAATCTGTATATATATTTTGAGGAATTAAATAATAATGAAAGATACAAATATGGACATTCTGTCGAATGAAGCGCACATATCATATAGGTATAGATGCAACCTCTTTCTATCATGGCCAAGGTCCCACATGACAGGTATTGTTCGCCTTGCCCAAACCTCTCTGGACTACCTCAAGGCTTTTGGGACTCATTGTTTTGTCAACTTGAATTTTTATCCCAAAAGGCGCCTATCAAATGGAAACTTGGACCACTACTGGTGGCCTTTAAGACTTCAATCTGATTCCTATATTAAATTAACCTAAGGCAACTGGCACAAAAAACCGCCCTTCGAGTTTAGGTATCAACCCCACTTTTGGTTGTGGGACTTCCTATTCTTTAGGAATGATGGCTACAGATTTTATCGATATACACTTGGCAAAAACCATAACAAAGACAAATCATCTCAAAACAATGTATTCGAATGACATGACCTTTTTCAAATTTGTTGTGTGGCGTTGCATCAGAATTTTTTTTTTTT